GACCCATTTGACTGTGTGGGTGTCTACGCCACAGCCTCCCATTTTCTTAATGAGAACGGGGTGAGAGACAGTGTCAAAAGGCTTCCGGAAGTCCAGGAAGACTATGTCCACTGCTACCCCTGCATCTAATGATCTGGTGATCTGATCATACAAAGCCACCAGATTGGTCTGCCAGGACCTGCCACTGATGAACCCATGCTAATTGCCCCTAAGCATGCAGTCCCCTGCTGTCCCCTCCTAGATGTGTGCCAGAATTATTTTCTCAAACAGCTTGCCTAGGATCGAGGTAAGACTAACTGGCCTATAGTTTCCTTTAACAAAGTGTGCAATGCTTGTAGGTTTTACTTTAAAAATCAATCAATCAAATCAGTGTTATTTTCCATGTAAATACAAATTGTGGAATTAATTATAGCTCTCACAGGATACATGAAATATCAAGGTATTCTCTGAGAGACAGGGTAAGAAATCAAAAGCATTTATTGATAGGTATAAATTCCAGCTGGCTATTAAAAGAGGAGTCAGACCAATTCAGTCTGAGCCTGATCCAAAGCCTGCTGAATCTCACCGGTCTGAAGGAGCTCTGGCTATATCTGATTTAGGGGGATGAGGACAGTGTATATTTCTGTTCCAGTGTAACAATTCCACATTCCTTTAACGTGGGTAGGGGAAAATATCTTACACTGGAAATATCTTACCTTTGGAATAATCCAGCCGTATTCATGATTATTTACTCCCACCATATATGGGACAGTGCTGAACTCTTTATCAGCCAGCAGCTTATCTACTTCCTTTGGAAAAAACACACCATCTACAGTTGGAGGGATATAATCAATTTGCTGAAAGGAAAAAAAAGAAAACAAAGTTATTTATCCCTCTTTGTGATATTGCAAAATTCCTACTGCCGAGTGAAGCCAAGACCAATACAAGTGCCAATCTCTTGGAATCCAACATAGAACAAATGTGATGACAGAGCCATTAACAAAGCATCCAGACACAGCACCTGCTAGTCACCTTACTGTTCACAGGGAAATCAATATAAAAATTCCCTTTGATTAGAATGATGATAGAATGAAGGCAGTGCTGTGCACTTCTGAAGATCTGAATCTGGATAATCAGGACTACCACAAAAGATGAATATGTATTGTTATTCTGAAAAGCAGTTTGTACTTTAGTAAAATGCTATAGTCCAGTAAGATTGCAAAAAGCCATATATGACAGGAAATATGACAGTGCCGTATATAGGAAAGACAGGATGGTCAGTGTGCTTCTTCTATTGGCACATACCGTAATCCACTTTAACTAATCTTCTAAAAATTTTACGTGTAACTGGATATATTGCCATGAGCTAGCTTTGAAGACATCCCCCAGTTTGACAAAGGGAATTAATTAATTAATGTTCATAGTGGATGAGCAGTAGCATTCACCTGCAAAAAATAGTGGGGCATAAAAATAAGGGTGTGCCCCCTCCTAATAAAATAAATCAGACATACATTCCTTCTTGCAATTTCATCTGGAAATGACAGTGGAATTTAAAAGGTTCAGGATCAACTTTCCAAAGTGGCCTCCCCCAGTACCTAAAATTTGAAAATACCAAGTTAATTTTCCAGAATTAAGATTCTGCAGACATAAGAAGTGCTTTTTGTGTGAACTGCATGTTTATGGGCATGTGTAACAGAGGCCTGGGTCTACAGGAAGAGTCTTCTAGTCTCTATCAACAAGCTGAGTTCAGCAGCAAGGGAAATAATTACTTCTTGCTGCTGCTGGGCTGGGGCGGTAAAGACAAAAAACAGTGTGACCTTCAGAAAAACTTGATGCTGGCTTAGCCAACTATGCACTGCTGTTTGTTGGTTCTCCGGTAGTTGCCAGAAGGCAGTATAGGATCTTCTGACAATTTCTGGGAAAGAATGGGATGGGGGTGGGCCCAAACAGATCCACAGCAGATGAACTGGCATGGTCACAACCCCATTCAGACCAGGCCACCAAAGCAGCAGCCAGGGACTACTTTTAAGCCCCTAAAGCAAGTAAGAATTAATTCCACATCTTCTCCTCTGTGCTCAGCAGCACATCCCTCCCCTCCTGCTGCTGTCCCCAGCTGACCCAGGGGTGGGCAGAGCCCCAGAGCCAGGACTCTACAGCTGCTGCTCCCACAGCATGGTTTGCCCGTCTTGGTGGGAGGGAAGCTGGGATCTGAGGTGTAGGGCTGGTTGCTTCTCCTCCACCCCATTTAACAGGTGAACTTCTGACTACAGACTAGAATTGTGAGCCCCAGAGCCAGGCTTAAAGAGGGGGAACCCACCTGTTGCCACCATCACTGCTGCCATCCCCGACTGAGCCCAGCTCCCTGTGCATCCACTCCCTGCAGCTCCAGCTGTAGCAGGGCAGGAGAGGCTCTGGAGTTCCCCCTGCCTTGGATCAGCTGGGGGCAGTGGTGGATGGAGGAGGCGAGGTGCTCCTGATCACTCAGGTGAAGAAAGCGGGTTGTGAGGGGAGAGGAAGGGGGGATTCTTACCTTATTCAGGGACTTAAAAATGTATCTCCCCAGCTGCTGCTCCAACAGCATGGTCTACCTGCCTGCCTGGGTGGGGAGGGGAGGGAGAGAAGCTGGGAGCTGGGGTGTAGGACTGGTTGCTGCTCCCCCATCCCCTTTACAGGTGAAGTTCTGATTACAGACTAGAATTGTGAGCCAGTAGACCTTCCTTCTAAAGGAAAAGTAAAGAATCCCAAATCTTTTCATTTTGCAACTCTACTCACAAGCTTCATAGACCAATCATTCATTTGCTGCAGCAACTGCTGGTCCTCTTTCTCCCTAAAGATCTCTTTCCAAGACTTCCTTTACAGAAATGGAGATATTCCTAAATGCAGTCCACCACCTAATTGCCTCCTCACTCTAGCATTTGACACAGAAACTTAAAACGTGCAGATGTTGTTGCTGCTGTTTTGTTACAAATCTAAACCAACCCTACTCCAAACACTGTATGGGTTTAGAGGCAGTGGATTAGCTGAGTTAATTGCAAGTAATAAATGCGACAGAATTAAACATAGCTTTGAACCAAAATTGCAGTTCAAAATTTTGTGAAATCTAAATTCAGATTCTGCAGCTCAGACCCATCCTGGCATGAAACAAGAAATAGGATTTAAGCACATGGAAAGGACTGACTCCATACTAGAAGAGTCAACCAATGTTCCTCTATTGATTCGAAGGTCTTAACAGGTCCTAAATTAGCAGTTCTCCCTTACCTTAAGGAAATCTGTAGTTACAGTCACTAATTCCTTCTCTGTTTTTTTCCTTAAACAATTAACTATTGCAGAACTGGTCATCTCACAGCCAGCTAGATTAGCAATGACCTGTAATTGTTGAAAAACAATAAAAAAGGAAGAGATGACAGTCATGGGACAGCCAAATAATTTCATACCTGCTAATGTACAATGGATTTTAAATCTGCCCACCATAACCAAATTACAGTGTAGGTGTCTGTGTGCACTACAGTACATGGGGACATGACCAGGATCAGCAGACTGCAGGTCCTGTTCTGAAAGATACTCAAATCTTGCTGAAGATCATTCTATTTGTAGGGACCTATATTTGCGGTTTCATGGATTTTACAGAAACCATGAAATCCAGGAATGTCCACAAAAAATTAACAACAAAAATTGAATAAAAATAAAATGCCAACTCCCAAGCAGGAGTCAGAGGTCCTGACTGTCAGGAGGGGAAGATGCTAGCTGGCAGGGTGGCACAAAGAGCAGCAGATAAGATTGTAGCTGCCCCCTTGTCCCTCTTCCTCTGGCCAGGGCCTCTGCAAATCAGCACCAGGGGGAAGCGCAGTCAGCAGTCAGGAAGAAAGATGGTTGCCCACTCATCCCTGAGCCTCTCCATTAAATCAGTGCCAAGAAGCAGGGCCATGAAATGACTGTGGAATTAGAGCTTTAGGTCACAATCAAACGCATAAAAATTGGTAAGTCCCCCCATGATTTAGGTAGACACCAACCCGTTTGCAGTACCTTCTATTTTTTCTGGGACAGTCAAACAGTTGCAACTAATTTTTAAAAGCTACCTTAATCTTTAACCCTATTTACTTTGGTGTTCTCTATTGTAATGGAGCACAACTGCTAGTGAATTTGGCTGCAGTGGCACAACCCATTTGAAATTGTGCTAGATCTGATTTTCTGTGTGCTCCCTTTGTTATTCTCCACAAATATATATATTTTTAATCGTAGAAACATTAAGAAGAAAAAGTTGATGATTCCTTGGCAGATTACTGCTACTAATTTATGTAAACTTAAATCCACCATCCCCTCTTGCTTCATAGTTCAGGGCAACACAGGCATTGCTGGGAAAAATGGGACACCAGAATTTAAGATTAAAAGAAAACTCTACACACACCTAGGAAGGAAAGAGAAACGAGACTTGAGACCATTTTTCTAGGTTGTGAAAAGAGCTGAGCACAAACACTTGATCTGTAATTTGTTCCTGAACACGTCTCAACGCTGAATTTCAGAAACTCAGCATTTAAAAAAACAAGGAAATAAAAAACAAACACCTCCGAGAACTTACGTGAGTAAGAACTTGAGGCTTAGAAGTAATACTACCAGGTAAGGTCACAACCCCACTCTGTGATATGGCTTTGTGGAACAAGCCTTTGGACATGGGAGAAAGAATCTACAAAAAACAAAGTACAAATTATATATCCATGATGTTTGTTTGGTACAATGCATGAATAACTTTGCTTTTGTAGACAGACTGAAAAGCAAAGCTCAACTTTAGAGTTGTTCAGTAATTTTAATATAAAAGCAGTTATGGCAAACCCACATTAGCACCAATGCTGATTCCTCCTGCAGATTCTCCAAACAGGGTGACAGATTCTGGATCTCCACCAAAAGTATCAATGTTGTCCTTAACCCACTGCAGAGCTGCCACTTGATCCAGCAACCCCCAATTTCCACGAGCGTATTCATCACCAGTACTGAAATCAAAAGAGGGAATTCTAAACAAAACCACCAATTTTCTTCTCTGCTGCTGGGAACACAGAACAAACATCACCAGGTATTTCAAGCGAACATATACTGACCACAGGATTTTTTTTTGCAGAAGTATTTATTAAAAAGCAAACAAATACAAAGCTCCACTTTCAACACTAAGCCAAGTGGCCCCTGTGGTTCACTTGGCAGCTCAAAGCATGCTAAAAACCTGTTACAGTTTGCACAGTGTATCCGTGAGCCCATCCCCATACCTGCACTCCCACCCACTGCCCTCCTCAGAGGGCCTGCTCCTGAAAAAGTCTATGCCAGATCCCTCTCCACCAGGTGAGGTTTGCCATTTCTTTCTTGTCGTCCTCTTCCATCTTCCTATAGTACCAGTATATTTCACTTAGTCCAGGGGTGGGCAAAATATGGCCCACGGGCTGCATCTGGCCCGCAAGGCCATTCTATCTTGCCCACAAGGCCCCTAAAAAAACTGTGAAAATTAAAATTTATCTGTTCTTGGTTTCTGTAAAAGATGACAGGAACCAGGGGCAAGTAGGACCCAGGGGAATCCTCAGCAGGCTCGTGCAACAGCAGGACCTGCCCCCTTAGCTGGAGGCCCCAGCAGGGGCTTCTGGCCTGGGACCATGTAGCTGCCCTGCGTTGGAACCTCAGGTAAGAGGGAAGGGCAGGGAAAGACTCC